CGAGGGGGGGGGGGCGGAAACACCCACTGGGGGGGGGGGGGGGGGGGTCACGGCCCAGAGAATGGACAAAATCAGAAGGAGGCGGAGCACTTTACACCAAACAAAGGAAGATGTATTTTTTGGAGTGTGGGGAAGAAGAGAAAGAAATGTGTAAATACATATTTGCCAAGATGGGGAAGGGAGCACACAGTACCAATACTATCCAGAGGCAGATCAGAGTTACATGCAGTGACCTGGGTTTGAACCTAATACAATCATTACCTTCCCCCAAAATAATTAAGGGGGGGAAAGAAGTCCCCTCCACATTTACAAACATGGAAAAATAACCTTACTAGAGCCAGAAAATGTTGGAGGGGCAGGAGAATGAGAGAAGGATGTAACCCGTTAAGTGAGGCAATACCTACGCAGTAAGTAGGTATGAAAAAATACACCCCTGTGAAGCTTCCCAAGACAGGAATCAGCACATTTGGTTATGATGGAAGTATTTAGCTGTTGGGATGCCACAGTGCCTGTGTATACATATATACACACACACACACGCACGTGCATTCAATAGAGGATGCATGCTGGCAGAGGAAACATTTTGCTATGGGCAGCTTTAGAGAGCAGTGGTCCCAAATCTACTGCACCAGCTCATACCAATGCCCGTTAATGCTGGTCCGTGAAGAAAGGGGGGCAAGACAGAGGAATGTATGTGGCGCGGGAGAAATGAGTCATGGAACATTCCAGTGCCATTTGGTTAAGGGCTGGGATATAAGGGATGCAGTTTCTTAGCAGCACGGAGTAGCTAACCGCATGCATCGTTCATGAAGTTCACAGAAGAGCAGCATTTCTAGTATTGCAGCCTCAATGTTGCCAGCAGGGGGGGCTGCCCAATACAGAAGATGGAAAGACTACATATGGGGGGGGGGGATGAAATGATATTGTTCTCTCCCACCCCCCTTCACAAACCTGAAACCCAAGAGGGGGAAAAGGAGCCTGTTGCTAATCTGCAGCCCTGTATTCTAGAGGGGCTCCAATCTTGCAGTGTGCTGAATCCATTAGTCCCCCTGCCTACCAGCACACATGGTGGCTATACCCCTCTCCATGCAGCTCCTCTGCCTCCTGGCTTTATCACCTTGCTTCCCTACTCCACCCACACCAACAGCACATGAAAGGAAGAAAGCAGCTGCCACTGAGTACTGGTCACCTCTGGTCAGAGAGCCAAGTTTCACAGACCACCAAGAAAATACAAAACTGACCCAAGGAAATTAAAAAAAAGAAGAAGGGGAAAAAGGCCACAGAATTGGCGCCCACCCCCACTTGCCCCAACCCCTCCCACCACACCCATATACTTTATTATCTATATATATATATTTATCACACACACACACACGCACACACAGAGACCGTGCAAAAAAATCCCGGCAGAGCCAGAACCCGAAAGAGAGAGAGAGAAAGAGAGGAAACCAAAAGTTAACCCTAACCCACCCAGTCCCAACCCCACAGCAACCGGTGCCGGCAAGGGAAAAGCAAACCCGACAGGGAAAGAAGGGGGGGGGCTGGGGGAAGGGGGGATCAACCCAAAATGGAACAGAGGAGGGGCTTCGCCCACCATTCCCCCCCCCCAACACTCATTTCTTGTTCTTCAGCTGGTTGGCCAGCCAATCCAAGCCTTCGTAGAGGCCGTCTCCACTTGTGGCGCAGGTGGCCTGGATGTACCAGTTGCGGTGGCGCAGTGAGTGCAGGCCGAGCTTGTCTGTGATTTCTGCTGCATTCATGGCATTTGGGAGGTCCTGGGAGGGAAGACAGACATACGAAAAGCATGAAGCTGGCTGCACCCCGACAATTCCAGGAGCCTCAGACTCAAGCTGAAACAGCCCCCCTATCAGCACCAACAGCTTCCAGAAAAAGCTTAGGCGATCATCCAACCCCCCTTCCCTTCCCAGCAGCCAGGCTCCTTCACTCCTTCCTGCCTCAGTCAGTCTTCCAACTTCCTGGACCTGCAGACCCCGGCTCTCATGACTGTCACCCACAAGGCTTAGTGCTATAAGACCAGACTGCACACAAAGGCCATTTGCCTGAATTTATTTTGCACAATTTACCCTGCTACTAGTGGGCACGAACAAGGCGTAACTGCCCCACCCCTGGACGACTGGCTCCCCATCTCCCAGCCAGGGTCTTCGCCAAGTGCAACAGGGGCAGCTGCCCCAGGCTCCACACTTGAAGGGGGGCAGCAGTCCACAGCCACCTCCCCCCCCTGGGGGGGAAAGAAGAGCAGGCTCCTGCTGCCACTGCCTACACCTGCCCTTTCTGGGAATCAGGCTGCAGCAGCAAGGGTGGCTCCTGCCCAGCATGGGGGGGGGGGCACCCTTTGCTTGGTCCCAGTGTGTGTGTGGGAAGGAGTGCAGTGATTCTGGGGCCCCATCCCGGACTTTTGCCTGGGCCACCAGAACCACTAAACCGTCCCCTGCTCACACCACCCAGTTTGAGATTTTTCTGTCTTCGACCCCTAGGGCTGTTTGTTCTCTGCACTAAAAATGTTCTGTGTCAAGGTAATCCTAATTGGCATCCTGTACAAACTTAATCTCCTGCCAACCTAGCAGTTTGAAAGCAAGAAATTGCAAGTAGATAAGTAGGTACCGCTTCAGTGGGAAGGTAACAGCGTTCCGTGCGCCTTGGTGTTTAGTCATGCCGGCCACATGACCACGGAAACGTCTTCGGACAGCGCTGGCTCTTCAGCTTTTAAACGGAGATGAGCACTGCAACCCTAGAGTCGGACTCGACTGGCTTTCGAGCAAGGGAACCTTTACCTTACAAACTTAATACTTCATTTTTGTGTAACTCATTTTATTCTTGCTATTTTGCATAATTCACTCTGTTCCTGTTAGAGGAAGGAGAAGCAGCTCTGCCAAAGCCCCAAGCAATGGAAAGTTTATTTGGTCCCCCTACTGGATGCTGACATGTCAACAATCTCTGCTTTCAAGTGCCTTTTCATAACCATGAGGACTAGAAGCTTGCTTTAAAGAAGGAGCAGGGGTTCTCAGGAAGTTGAATTCTGAACCCAATATTACATGGCTTTTCTACACTCCACAAAATGGCAGCTTCACGGGGTTAAAAGAATCTGCACCTGCCCACAACCTGCTGGCTGCACGGCTGTTCCAAGGCGTTACCCAGAATGTGGCAACCCCTTGCTCAGCCCTTACTACAGGAGGGGTCCGTCAGCATCACCATAGTACTCCATTTGTAGGCTGCAGCATCTCCCACACCCATTAGCTGCAGCCCTCACTTTGCCTGGAGGAACAGGAATGAGCCCCAAATTCACGGGTACAGCATAGACCACAGGGACAGTTTTAAAGCTGGGTATTAAGAAGTGATTTTTGACCCTGAAACACACCAGGGCTCTCTAACTTTCCTGCAATCACATTTGCAACAATTTCATCATGGTCCAGTGTTTGTCTTTTTAAAAAACAACAACTGTGGTTTGAGGACCACCTAAACTAGCTGCAAGACAACAAACAAACAAAAAAGTGATCTCTCTAACACTGAAAAGCCAGGTTTCCTTGACCCTTCCACTAGCACCGCTGAAGAGGCAAGGAGTACCTTTCTAGCTGAAAGTGAAGAGTAGCTTGCCCCTTCAGCAGCAGAAGGTGCAGCACTGGGCACTCCTTCTCAGGAGGCAGCTCTTTCAGAATGACCTTCCGTATGGTGATGTTTAAAACCCCGCACAAAAGTTGAATTTAGAGCCACTCTTATGTATAGTTTTTTTTTTAGCCATGGGGCCTGCATGAACACAGCAATCCCACACACACACACAGCATTTCCTTCATCTTGCAGGCTGATTGTTTTGACTGCCGAACCCCGTGCAATGGACTACAGAAGGAGCAGACTGTCTTGCAAGCCACACTGGAGTAACTCTACTCAGGGGTCATTTCGCAGAAAAAGAGCTAGGGGAACTCATTAGCATATTCCACACCCCCTGACATCAGGGGCCCGGCGGTAGACCTGCAAGGCCGGCGGACGTGCGAGGAAGCCCCGCCAAGGCCCTCCCTGGCCCCAGGCAGGCAGGGGTGGGGAGAGGCTGGGAGGAAGCAACTTACCCTCCCTTTTATCCTGCCTACTCCTGGCTGAATGAGGGCTGGAAGCGGGGCGGCCAGAAGCAGGGGGCGGGGCTTCATCGTGTGCCCCGCCCCCCTGCACCTCACCCAGGGGAACTGCGTCTCCCCCCCCCAAAATGACCTCTGACTCTACTGCAGAGTTGCTGTGGCACAGGTCCATAAACGCTCATCAGCAATTGCGAGCACAGAGCTGTGAGGCAGTGCCAACAGTTACACAGCACACTAGGCTACCACCCCATGAATGCAGAGTCAGCTATTTAAACCACAGCATACTTAGTATCCCAGATAACTTGGACATGACAAGGATGTCATCCTCCATGAAGCCCCCTTTTTTACGGTGCTGAGGCAATGCTGCCCCATGCCTGAAGCTCCCAAATTCTCCCAGAGACTACGCTGGAATAGAGGCTCATGGCTTCCAGCACTGTCAGCTCCAGGGTGCCAGCAAAGCAGAAAGCTGTCACCCTGGTCCTCTCCAAATTCAAAGCCAGAAATAAGAAAGGCAAGCAGGCAACTGGGAGACACAAACTGCTTCCAGACTCCCTCCCCCTCTAGTCAATCCTCAGGGGGAGCCTGTCTGGCAGCCTGACCCGCCAAGACTGAGAAGCCCCCGTTTCTCCCATCCTGGACCCACCTGCTTGTTAGCAAAGACAAGGAGAACGGCATCTCGCAGCTCGTCCTCTGCCAGCATCCGCATCAGCTCCTCACGTGCCTCATTCACTCGCTCCCGGTCGTTGCTGTCCACCACAAAGATCAGACCTGCCAGAGAAAGAAGGTGAACAAAGAGGCATGACTGAAACAGGGGTGATTTTTCCGGGGTACCAAAGCAGGGAGAGCTGCCCAAAGAGAAGACTCGATCTCTGGCCTCTTGGACTGGAAGGAAAGAGGGTGAGGGTGTGCCCCCCCCTTTTTAACCAGGTGAGAGCTGGGTTTTGCGTGTGTGTGTTACTCAGTTCCAAGTAAAAGATGGGTCTGAATTTGTTTTTTTATGTTTTTTTCCAAGAACCAGGTGGGTATATATTTTTTGTGCCTTTGCTCGCTGGTGGGAGATATATACTTGGGGAGATGGGCTGGGGTGAGAGATGGTGCCACAAGTCACAGCGTGTGGGGTAGGGGGAGATATGGTGGAGGGAGAAGAGCAGGCCAGGTAAGGATAGCAGAGCACTGCTCCTGACGATGCCCTAGTTGACCTCTGGAATGAGAAAATGACTCAGGCAGTTGACACAGGCGCTCCCGGGTGCCCTCTCCCCAGTGTTAGAGCCCAGGTAGCCCCTTGGTTTACTGAAGGACAATGGAATGACAAGGAAGACAGATAGACAGACAGTGGAGGAAGACTCGGGACAAATCCAATAAGACACAGCAAAAGCTCATTTTAAAGCGTACTCCGTGGCAGTGATGAAGGCAAAGGAACAAAACACTTTTCCGCCACCACTGCATCCGCAGAGTGTAGGTCAGCACAGCTGTTCTGGGTGGTCAGAGGCCTGCTGGGATCTGGCCTGCAGGAGGTGGAACTGCTGTGACCATTCTGCTCAGCACGCTGCAGATAAAATCTTTTGCATCTGCTCCAACTTTGACTCTACGTTAGCAGTGACAGGGCACCAACTTGTCCAATTGTGTGGAATATTTTCCAATTTATTCAGTCTGAGGATGTGCAGGTGCCTTGGAAAAGCTTTCCATGCAGGAGGGCTGGGTGGGTGCAAGAAGTAGCCTAAATGTGATCTGAGGGTGGAGGGAGTGACAACAGTTACACTCTTGAGCAAGGTGGTTCAACAGGTGGTGGCTGGACAACTGCAAGCTTTCCTGGATGAGGCAAACTGTTTAGATCCCCTCCACTCTAGGTTAAGGCCTGGCCGTAGGACTGAAACAGCCTTGGTCACCCTGGTGGATGACTTGCACTGGGTGACGACAGGAGGAATATGACTCTGTTGATTCTCCCGGACCTCTCAGCAGCTTTCAACACCATCAGTCATGGTATCCTTCTAGACCTCCTATCTGGGCTTGGAGGCACTGTTCTGCAGTGGCTCCGGTCCTGCCTGGAGGTTAGGTTTCAGAAAATGACACTGGGGGACCAATGCTTGTCCTTTTGGCCTTTGGGGCTCCGCAAGGTTACATCTGGTCCCCCATGCTCTTTAACATCTACATTAAACCGCTGGGTGAAGTTGTCCAGAGACCTGGGGCTGTGCTATCACCAATATGCAGATGATGCTCAGCTCTGTCTCATGCTTCCAGCTGATCCGAGGAGGCTACAGAAACTCTGCAGTGCATGGAGGCAGTTTTGGAGTGGATGTGGATAAACTGAAGCTTAATCCCGACAAGACAAAATTACTACTGGTAGACAGACATGTGACCCAGGATTTAAGGTGTCACCCACTCTGGATGGGGTTGCACTTCCCTTGAAGGAACAGGTCCATATCTGGGGGTCCTCTTGGACTCAGGCCTACTGCTGGATAAACAGGTGGCAGCAGTAGCCAGGAGTGCCTTTTACTAGCTTTGAAAGCTTAGCCAGCTGCGGTGATTCCAGTGCAGAAGAGATCTGGCCATCATGGTGCATATCCTGGTTACACCAAGATTAGATTACTGAAATGTGCTCTATGTGGGGCTCCCTTGAAAAGTATTCAGACATTTTAATTGGTACAGAACACTTCAGCCAGGATGCTGACTGGAGTGGGTCGCGGGGACTACGTCACTCGTCTTGGTCCATCTGCACTGGCTCCCTATTTGCTTCCAGGCACAATTCAAGGTGCTGGTCTTGACTTTCAAAGCCCTACATAGTTCGGGACCAACATACCTGAAGAAGAAGAGATTGGATTTATACCCCGCCCTTCACTTGGGAGTCTCAGAGCGGCTTACAAACTCCTTTCCCTTCCCCTCCCCACAACAGACACCCTGTGAGGTGGGTGGGGCCGAAAGGGCTCTGACAGAGACTACTCTTTTTGTCAGAACTATGGCTTGCCCAAGGTCATCCAGCAGCTGCAAGTGGAGGAGTGGAGAATCAAACCCAGTTCTCCCAGATTAGAGTCCGCGCACTTAACCACTACACCAAACTGAAGGACTGCCTAATCCCTTCTGAATCCACCTGACCATAAGACCATCTTCAGAGGCCCTGCTTTGGGTGCCCCCACCTTCTGAGGCTAGGCGGGGGGCGACCTGGGAGAGGGTCTTCTCAGTCAGGCCACGACAGTTTCAGAACTCTCTCCCCAGGGAGATTCGTCTGCCCCCTCCTGTTGCCATCTCCCACCAGTGAGTAAAGACTTTTTTAGTTCTATTTGGCATTCCCTTAGTGATCCTGATTCTGTATGTATTTTAGCTCCTTTTTATTGTTTTAATGATATGTGTTTGGAGGGGGTTGATTTTAATGGTTTTAAAATGTGGCTCTATTACGTAGGTTTTAAACTGTCAGCTGCCTTGGCAACCCTTGTAAGGCAGAAAAGCAGCAAACAAACTCTGTAGATAAAATTTAAAGAGCATAAAGGGTTGGAAACCAAAGGTTGGATACTTCCTCCCCCATCAGAAACCCCATTAAGGTGCTGAGATCTCAGAGCTCTTCGCACTGGAACAGAACCAGGAGACAAAATTTGTTTTAGGGTTTTATGTATTTACTTCATTGATATCCCACGTCTCCCCTTTTCCGTTTTATCCTCGCAACAACCCTGTGAGGTAGGTTAGGCTGAGACAGGGAGTGACTGGCCCGAGGTCACAAAGGGAGCTTTCATGGCAGAGTGGGGATTTGAACCCAGGTCTCTGAGATCACAGTCTGACACTTTAACCGTTACACCATACTGGCTTTCTGGCTGAATGACCAGGAGCTCAAAACATCTAGAAATCTAAAAAGAACAAGAATTGGTTGTAGATCCCAATCTTCACGAAGAAGTAGGAGGGAAGCTCTGCTGAAATTAGCAGTCTTTTGTCCTCAAGAGTAGAAAATGACGGCAGCAAATCACATTGTTCTAAACTAAAGGTCCTGCCAACTGGGAAGCCTCAATAACACTCTTCCCCCAGTCTTTGCTGCAAGAAGAGTTTTGGAGCTATCACAATGATTGATTCCCCCCCCCTCTTTCTTCACTCTTCCTTGTCCCGGAAGACACATGGATGAACTGTCTTGCTTTCAAAGATTTAAACTGATCTCTTTTGAGCACTGTAGGGCAAGACCTAACTTCAAACCAGCACAGAATTCAAAACTGTTAGTTAAAATCAGAGCTTTGCTTTGTCAGTTTGTTTACCAAGAAGCATCAAGAACTTCCAGGCAGGATGCTGAACACAGAGACTGACACATCAGAATCTTGATTGTGCAATGTCAAGAATTTCAAAACAGCAGGGGCTGGATCTGACCCATATAAGTCACATAAGGCCTATCCAGAACTAATTGTTTTTATGCCAGTCTTGCAAGTAAGTCAATGCAAAAGACTAGCATACAAAAGATTTTTACCAGCCCATCAGTTCACATAAATCTAAGTAAGTCATTTGTGGACAGAAGTAGGGATGTCTTTACAAAATTACCTTCCTGTCTGGTCACCTAAGGCCCAGACAGCGACCATTTCTGCTCTTAAAAACAACACCTGCCAGACATTTCAGCCTATGCAACTTCTGCTTGAAAATTTCTTCAACATCTCTAGGTCGCATTATGTACTGGCAAAGTACTTGTACAATTAAATATTACTTAAATGTTTCATCTACGTTAAGATCATCCCTTTTTCTTTTCCTCAGAGGTTCCGAAGGCAGTCAACACCAAAAGTCTTCCCGTGGTGTTTCAGACACATGCCGTTACTGACCCTCTTGGGTCATTCAAGGGTCACAGAATTTATCTGTGGAACGGTGAGATTTACCCACCCAGGGGTGGCCATCTGCTACTGCTGACCTGCTACCTTCTCCTAGGGAGCGTAGTGCAGGTGTCAGACTAGGATCTGGGAGAGCCAGTTCAAATCCCCACTCTGCTGTGGAAATCTGCTGGGTGACCATAGGCCAATCACAGTCTACTTTGCCTGTTGTTGTTTTTTTATTGAGAATAAAATGGAGAAGGGGAGAGTGATGTTTTAACCTGCGTTGGGTCCCCACTGGAGAGAAAGCACGAGTCAAGAGCCACTGGGGGAACAAATCAACTTAACCTTGAAAAACAAGCCAAAATTTCAAATCCTTTGTCCCAAGGTAAATATGCAAATAGGTCACAACACCTGCTGTCCTGAAGCCAGGGGAATGAGGTCAGAGAGAAATGAAGATGTGTAGCCCCCAACTTCCCTCATTTCCACCTTCCCATACCCTGGGTGTTCTGAAAGTAGTGCCGCCACAGGGGTCGTATCTTGTCCTGGCCACCCACATCCCACACAGTGAAGCTGATGTTCTTGTACTCAACCGTTTCCACGTTGAACCCTAAGAGGAGAGAAGAAAGGTGAGAACCCAGTTTTACACAGCAGGAAACTTAGCCCTTCCTATGGGCCAAAGAATTAGGGATCACAAAACACACAAGACATTCAAGGGGCACAACCATGGCTAGCCATTCCACAATCCCAAGGGTCATGGTTGTATAAAATGAGTATGGGTGTTGCTAGAATCCAGAATACCACCGATGAGATATGCTTTGCATAGAAGCAGTTCTTTTGTCAACAACCACAAGTTAGAAATGGGCCTCAATTTACATTTCAGGTTCGCCAGGAAAAAGTGCTCACTAGTGAACATATTGTCATGAAGAAGCTGAATTCAAGCTCATGTTGCATAAAATTGATGTATTTCACCCCTTTTCAAACACAAGCATAATCAAAACTGTGGAGTCAAGAAACCATGGACTCTAGTATTATTAACACCAAATACTCACAATAATGAGTCAACATAATCAGACATGCCTGATCTCATCAGTACTCGGATGGGAGACCTCCTTGGAATACCAGCAGTCAGGAGCAGGCTTTATTCAGCCACCTCTCTGAATATCCTCCAGACCCCCACTAGGGGTCAGTCACCAGAGGTCACCATGACTTCCAGGTGCATACACACTCACACACCCATATGAAAAATAACAAAAAACCCCACATAATCGGACATAAATCATACGAATGGGAAATCATAAGGTACAACGCAACCTGTTCGTTTCCAGAGGGTTCTGGCACAAGCACCCCCATCCCTAAAACAAATGGATGTTGCACAAAGCAGTGCACATGGCTTGCTCTCAAAATGCCTTCAGAAAAAATTCTGTTCTTCTGGCTTCTGAAACTATAGGACAAGGCTAGCATGCTTGCAAACAGAAAAAGAAGCTCGCTTTAAAAGAATATTAGAAGTAAATACTTTCAGGATTCTAATAAGCACTTTATGTTCTGGAAAACAAACCTACCATCAGCTTTAACCTGATGGCTGAAAGGAAACCTCCATGTCCAGAGGAAGAACGGCTTTGCATCCTAGACATTGCTAACAGCGGAAGGCCTTATTGCCCTGTATGTGAGCATTCCCAAAACCATCTGTCCGGCTACTGTAGGAAACAAGATACCAGGCCTTCATATGTTCTTACTCCTTAAACTGGTTTGATGATGAAGTTTGTGCTTAAAACACGGCACAGGGTGAAGGTGGGCTTGCAGAGTTAGAGTGAGTGGCAGCCTTCTCAGTTTACAGTCTTCCAACCCACCCCACTCCTAACTGTGAGCAGAAACCAGACATCCCAAGCATAAGACAGCCTCTGCCTCAATGTTCCTACCTTCCAAAGCCAAGACGGAAGTCTTGGAACCCCAATAATAAGCCCGATGGGCATGAGCTATTGGCATCATAGGCTTTTTTGTTCCAAGTGATTTTTTATTCCACTTCTGATCTAGCTGCTCCCAATTCTGAGTCACCCTAATTAAGGCTGCTGCATACCCCATCAGGGAGGGAACACCAGACTAGGATTAATGACAGGAAAACTGCTGTAGCCCTCTAGAACACCCCATCCCCGTCTCTCCGCCTCTCAGGTGCAGCAGGGAACACTGGATGAAAAAGATTCCCTGGGGGAAATCAGATTGTTTGCTTAAACTGCTGCCCCCAAAGTGGAAAAACCATATGATCGTTTGCGTCATGCAGCTGTCATATGACTAATTTCACCCTTGAAGGAGAAGAATGTACTTGTGGCACTTAAAAGAACCGAGACCATACCAATAGTTGGGATGGTGGTGACAATCTCTCCCAGTTTGAGCTTGTAGAGAATAGTGGTCTTCCCAGCAGCATCCAGGCCCACCATAAGAATGCGCATCTCCTTCTTGCCGATCAGGCTCTTCAGCAGATTGCCAAAAATGTTCCCCATGGCGGTGGGTTGACCTGCGCAGGACTTCGCTCTTTTTCCGTTCAGTGGGCCTCGAAGGACAAGTCCTACAAAGATAGAAAGGGCTATGAATAGGAGAAATGACAGCTCCCAGTATGTCTTGCAAGGAACTTAAATGTAACTGGAAGAAACAGGATACGAACAGTTTTGAGATTAGCCAATCAAGTGCCCTAGGAGGGCTAGGAGGTCCCCTCCAAAGGAAAGCATTCTTAGCCTAGAGTTGCAGTGTGATCCATTTCATCTTAGATATTAGCAATGTGAGAGCAAAGGACCATCAGGATGATGGTTTACAGTTGTCGAGTGACTAAGTCCTGCTTCACCCACACACGTACACAACATTTGGTTACACATTCAGCTGCCAGCCATCAGGCACATAAGAAACTGACTCCATTGAAAAAGCAAAAGGTGTGCTCAAGGTGATGCAAAAAGATATGCAATGTTATAGGGAACCTTTCCTCTGTAAAGTCCCATTCACACTTGCCAGGTCTTCCTTTGAGGATGCAGTTACCAAGTGATGATCACACATATACAATCAACCAAAAGGATGTCTTTCCAAAGAGGCCCTTTCTTTCTTTCAAGTTCTGCTAGAAATGAAACCCAGCCAGGCCTGTGGCTATGGTGGGGCCTCCTGGGGCCCAGCCCCCCAACTTCACATCCACCCCAGCCCCTGACTTTCTGGATTCCCCTTTGGAGCTGCTGGTGGCATGGGGCTCCTAGGTGAGGCCAGCAGTGCACCTGGAGGTGAATCACGTTGCAGGCTTGCAAGGTGGGGCTGTGGAGGTAGCAAGAGTCAGGCCACAGGGGGATGGCGCTGAGGAGCCAAAGGTGGACTGGGGCATCCATGCTGCACCCACCTTTCCATGGCCACTGCTGGGAATGTGCCACCTGCCTGTTTATGTCCTGGCCGGGAGGCAAGGGCAGAGAGGTACAAGGTGGGGGGGGGGGGCTCTAAGGTCAGGCTGAGGAAAGCTCCTACCCTACCACAAATTTTGTTAGTCTTTAAGGTGATGCCTGACCCTCACAGAAGCTTGGAGGGCAAAAAGCCCTGCAGAGTTGAGCCCTCTCTTCTCGTTCCCACTGCACACTTGGGAAAAGCAATTCTAATGTATTGTTAAGGCTTCCAGCCCTGGTGATGGGGGGGGGTATAATGTGGCTCCTTGCATCAGCTGGGGGGTGCGGCAGTCATGGCGAGAGGGAAAAAAGGCAAGCACTGCTCTGTCCTGCTGGAGCCTGGCATGCCCTTCCGTCCAGCCACCACATGGAAAGGCCAGTTGGGGCAGGGTCCAGCCAGCCAGCATACGTGACTTTATTTTATTTTTATTTCAGTGCCCCTCGAGTTTTTACAAGAAATCCTGGCTATGGGCCTGAACCGAGCTTTCTGTGATTTAATCAAGACTTGCAAGTAAACTACAATAGTTTAATGTAGCATTTCTCTACAGCCAGGGCCATTTGTTATTCGTTTGTGATATTTCAACTACTGGAAAACATGGACTAACTTTTTTCTCTGTTGACCAAGTCTTCTCTAGTTAGGTGGACTCAATGTTTACTTGTCACTAGCAACCAGGTAACTCCAATCTGAAGATTTATCAATCAGGCTGAATGAAGTTCACTTTTGTATCATCTCAATTCTGCAGCATCTCATTGTCTCGATATCATATAAATGTCTTAAGAGATTCAGGTAACTAGACATAGAGTAGTTAAGTGATTTTATCTAGCTTTCCCCCAGCTTTGTCATTATTCTTTGAATTTTTTCTCCAGAAATGTTTAAAATTAATCTTGCAATTTATTAGAGAGAAAACTGGTCTTGATCGCAGACCACTTTATGGCAAGGTTTGGGGTGTTCCCGGCAGTGGCAATTTTGCAAAGGATACATCAAGAGCCTGTGGGCAAAACTAGTTTCTGATAAGGAAACTATAAACTGAAGTGCAAATGGAGCACCCAGAAAGCCATTATTTCTAATTGTATCTCATCCACAGACATGAATAATGCAAGCAGAGGCCTAGATTCTCCCCCCACCCTGCAAAACCCTATACAGACACCCTTACAGTTGGTGTGGAGGCCAGTAGTTTGGTTCCAAGAGGATCCAGCAATCTATTTACAACATGAACCCTGTCAGACATCACTTACAAGATGGAAGCATACACACTGCCCACAAATCAACTTTGCAGGGGCAGTATAGTGAGCCTTACAGTGGTGGGGAGTCACTTATTCAAGCACCACTTTTAACTCTAATGTTGTGGAAGGAGAAAGGCTGCCTTTGTCTACATTGTTCGTTTCTCAGGCCCTACTGCAATTCTCATAAATTGTCAAGGATGACAGTCCTGTGGAAACATACTAGCTATCCTGCTTCATGCAGCTTCCAGCAAAATTTGAGGATTGTGAGTGAGGGAAAATAAGATATCATCTCATGGTGTCCCTAAACTTCTAAATGACATAGGACTAGACCAAGTCATAATCCCAGTTTATCAGTGGTCGAAGAGAAAGCAGAGGTAAGCAGGCAGCAGGTATTATTCAGCATAGCTATGCCTGAACCCTTTAAGTGTGGGACACTACAATTCCCAGCATGCCTCCAGCATGCAGAGGTATGAAGTCCAGGAGGATGGGAAGTGAAGTATCTGAACCACAGATCTCACAGGACATGGTTGTGTTTCCAGGAGGGGCATACTCCAGCTTGAACGGTGGCATGCCCCTCAATCTAGGTTAAGTGTTTTTCTTGGTATTCATTGACTGGAGCACCAAGATAGTTAAGTAACATCTTGTGATAGAAGAACCTCGAATACAGCCTATGCCTGCGTGCGAAACAATATCCCAACCCAGAGAGAGCACCAGTGACAGACATCACGTAGTCAAGCACAGACCTATAATGGATCCTTTCTCCTGCGTCACAATAACAAAAGGCAAAACAGAGAGAAGCAAGGGGACCTGTGCCAGGCACTGCCTGTCACGCTGAGTCTGCCAGGCAAGCCCCAAAGTGCAGCATTTTTGACTGCTACAAAACTCAGTCAGGAGCCAAATCTAAAGGGGTCAATAAAACTCCCCAAATCTTGCCAGATCCCACCTTTTGCTACACAAGATATGGTTTATTCAATTACATCTTAGAGGGAAAAAACCAAGGATCTTGGCCCAACCACCAAACTGGTCTCTCCTTCCAAATAATCCTGATTTCTTGGATCCACACACCTCCCCCAGATCCAGCCCAGATGCCATCCCAAAATCCAGGGGTCCTCTTTTGTGTTGGGTGCTCCTGGCGCCCCCTTCAGCCCACGAGCATTAAGTGCCTTTTCGTCACCCTTTCCCCTCCAGCCTTCCCAAGGCCCGATTCAGTGTGCCGGCCCAGCTAGCAGGGGGCCCCGGCAATCCTTTTAGTCTTTTAACCGAAAGGAGCGGAGAGAGCGCCGGTGATCCTTGTTCCGACTCTCCCTATTTCCCTTCCTCCCAGCTCCCGCATCGAACGCCCGACTCCCAAGCTGCGGCCTCCCCCCCCCAGAGCAATCCACCCACACGCTCGCTGCAGCGCGCACGCACCTCGATGAGCAACGGAGGCTCGTCTTCGGCAGCACCCTTCTGCCCAATTCTCGAATTGCTACCGGGTCTCTTTGCTCCGGCGCTGGCGGTTCCCCGACATACCAGCGGTACAACCAAGCGCCCCCCCCCAACTCCCACACGGCAACGCGTGCGAACTCTCTGCCCTCCCACAACCCCGCGAGGCTGCTGCACCCCAAAAATCCACATTCATACACTAGCACCGCCCAACGCTGCCGCTCCCAGCCTCCCTCCAGTGGGGCAAGCGCACAGTCGAACCTCCATCCCAAGCATTCCCAATCTCTCTTTTTATTTATCCAAAGCCTTTCCAAGCTCTCTTTCCATTGGTAAATTATATACATAAACACACACACATATCCTGTTGCCGCACAACTCTCCTCTTTGGATTCAAATTGACCTCGACGGCCCTCGTCCCCCGACCTGCTTCGCTGCCTGCTGCGCCCCACGCTCTGCTCTTCTGCAGCCACATAAACACACACACATATCCTGTTGCCTCACAACTCTCCTCTTTGGTTTCAAATTGACCTCGACGGCCCTCTTCGTCCCCCGACCTGCTTCGCTGCCCGCTGCGCCCCACGCTCTGCTCTTCTGCAGCTGCAGTGCCTCCCCCACTTAACACGGCACGGCTTCCTTCCCCCTCATGCTTTGGGCCATTTGCTGCCGCCGCCGCCGCCACCCCCGTGGGACGAGTCGGGCCTTGGCACCCACCTGCTCTCCTGCGCGCGCGCCGCCTCCGCCTCCCTCCTGTGCCACCTGCCCAGCTGACTCTGCACTGCGAGTCCCCCTCGAGCCGGAAGCAGCAGCTGAAACAGGCAGAGCGAGCAG